TATATATATATATATGACTTAACTTATGCCAATTCTTTCAATAAAATTTGTTTATTTACTTAATTTTCTTTTACTTATCTAACTCAGTATAAGACTTCAAGCCAGTTGTACCATTTTGCATTCATTTCTAAGAAATAAATGAATTTTGATAGTTAATCAAGAACTTCAGTTGCCCTCTTTTATCTTAAGGTTTCTCCACGTATTTTTTAGAAAAAATATTTTATAGCTAAAATTTTGTTGCAATTCAGATCACGCTCGAGTGCAAAAAATAAATGTAGTGGGAATGGTGTAGGATAATTGTGTCAGCGGACAAAGTATTGTTGAGCTGAGCTAAAATGTTTTCATAAGATTAGTGCTGTTTTTCAAGATTGGTTCTGAGTTTGACAAGTAGAATCAATTACGCAAAGATAGGATGAAATGATTTTTATGCAGAACAGGTTTAGAGAAGTAGTGTAGGTAGAAGGAGGAAAGCATCTGCTAAAGCAAGTTCGTATTTGCATTGCATGTAGAATGCTGAGTTTATGCGTGTTCTTTTGTTATTGCTGCATTTTTGTTGCTGACATGAAATGACAAGGGGTAATCATCCGTTTATGGAATTACTTTGTTCTGCTTATATTAGGAAGTCTTTATACAAATAGGTAAGTATTGCTTTCGTGGTATAGTTTGTGTGTGAATTAAGAGATAAGTGGTGTTTGTCGTTGCATTCGCTTCAGTTTTGGTAAATATAGTTCATTCTGACATTATGATAAAAGTATTAGGTTTGGTACCGTTGCTGATTTAATCCTGCTTTTCTGAAGGAATGGAGAATATTACATTGGTAATGCAGCAGGCGAAGATGGCAACAAGAAAGTTTTCAGAAATGATATATGTGCCAGCAGAAGACATAGATGACGCTAAAGAATCACTAGAAAGCAAGCATTTGCAAAAGGAAGTGGTAAATGATAAGAGTGATCAAGATAAAGATGAAACTGATCTGAACAATGTGGAAATTATTAATGCTTCTGCAGCAGTTGAAGCTGCAAAGAAATATGCCAGTAAGAAGTTGTCGCAGTGATTTACTTAATGCTTCATTTGTTATATTGACTTTGGACTTGTCTTATAATTGCCTTTAAAATATGTTTTTAGCGATTTCAGTATTAGTATACTGGTAATTAAGGTATAAAAGGTGTTGTCTGAATTCTTCAAGTAGATGTTAGGTAAATGGGCTGCCTGTTTGAGTTTTCAGTAGAAAGTTTGAAGCAGAAGAAACTCATTTTTTCTTTATCTCGGCGCTTGTTTGACATTAGTAATAATTTCTGTTATTAATTGTTAATTAGTGCATAAAGGTGGAGTAAAGAGAAGTAAAAATCCTTAATGTTATTTGGGATGGTAAAAATTTGCTCGTTATAGTTTGTTACTTTTAGGTTCCTTGTTTTCATTAGCCAAAGAAGCTACTGTTAAAGCAGCTATAACAGCAGAAGAAACTGCAAAGAAGCTTCAAACTGTTGTTGCTGAAAAGGTTAGATATTAAATATTGTAATTAAAGAAATTTTTTGATTTGTTTTGTCCTCATTCCTTTACTAATTTTTTTTGTGAAGTATTTTTGATAACGAATTTTTAAGCCATAGCTTCCTTTTCAAATGTATTCTATTTTTTAGCTCTTATCAATGAATTTTTACAATATTTATAGAATTTAATTGAACATTAGTTCATATATTTTATAAAATTAAAGTTTTTGAGACACCGATTGGCATTTGGGAAAAAGAACAAGCAAAATTTAACGAAGAGATGATTATTAATGAATCAAACACTACAGCTGAATTACCTTGGTCAGACATACCAGATCAGTGGATTGTTAAAAAGCATATTTTGGCTCTGTCATTGGTATTTTTACAAATTTACTATGAAATGTTTTTAATTGTCTTATGTAGGCTACGTTTTAAAAAAATTATCGTTTTCTTTTTAACATAGTTCATTTTTTGTCATGTAGTCTAAACTATTTAAAATTTCCAAGTTCTGTAGTTGCAATTGCAGTTAGTTTGTAAGATAAATAAATAGCATTGTCCAATTGTACGTACTTATTAATTTAGTTCTACAGTATGCTGAGTCGAATTCTTTTTATGCCAATAATGCAACCAAAAAAATTATTTTTTTAAAATAAATATTTTACACTTTGTGATTCTAACAGTAATATCTTCAAATTTCTGATCAGTTAAAAATTAGTAGACGAATTTTATGCGTTGGCATGTTTGCAGTGCTTTTGCGATCCTATATTTCACAAATGAGAATTGCCTTATGTTGCAGGATAGTCGTAATTTTACTCGCGATCCTCCATCAGAAACAAATTTCGATTTGACGCAAGTGCAGTCAGTAGCAATCAGACTCCTTGAAGAAGATCCCAATTTGAGGAAAATTAGATTCCAGCTTGTTCCAAAAAAGTGCATTTTTTTGTCACAAACATTCATTAGTTTCATGCATATGTTCCATATTATTGTGGAAATAGAAAATTATTTAAATTTTTAAAGTTGTGTTCCTACTGAAAAAAGTACCAAAAATTTCCTTTTACATTTATTTATCTTGTTGGAAGATGTTTGAAGTGACAATAAATACAGAGTTTTACTAGATCTAAGTGACAAAAGATATTCGTAATTTTTTGTTCTTGTGTAGTAAATGACTTTGCAGATTAAGTGAAGAACGTTTCTGGAGAAATTACTTCTATCGGATATCATTGGTACGCCAATCAGCTTTGAAAGAAAAGTTAGCTGAAATTCCAGTATGCTCAGAAAATTTTAAAGGAGTTGGAAATGTGAAACCATCTGACTTAGTCTTGACAAATGTTTCTGGAGAAGGAAACAAAGAAGCAATAGGTTTTTCGGGAACTAATAATGAAGAAAGAAAAGAAGTAATTGGAGTCACTGAAACTAGAAATGGAAAGTTGAATGTAGAAACACAAAAAAGTTCGTTTTTCTATTCCAAGAAAGTTTTTCTAGTTTTCATGAACCTGCGTTTTAGAATTAAAAAACTGTATTAGTCGTGTTAAAGGTGTAAATGACTATGTTAGTCGTGTTAAAGAAATTGCTTCTGTTGATTAGTATGTTTCTTACTGTTTGATAGTATTTAGTAACATTCTGCATGCTAACTGAAGATCTGTTAATAGGGATTTTCTTAACTGTTTGTGCGTGATAAAGAGCTATTGCAGATTCCTATTTCTTGGAGTTAGTTATCATTCTTACCTTTATAGTTTGTCAGTTTTAGAAGTTGATGAAGACTGGGAGCAGGAATTGGTCAATGATTTTAATGATTATGAAGTTATAAACAGCAGAGTGGATAAAACAGATCAGCAGTGGGAAGATGAAATCATTCAGTTACTTGATTCATCATGAAATTAAAAGAGTAGCACCCTTGAAAATTTTCAGTCATGTACATTTCATCAGTGCTTTCATCAGTTATTGATAATTAACGTATTAGAACGGTTTTTTCTATGCTTTTTCATAAATGTTCACGAACTCTTTCGTCAGATTCATTTTTACTGAGTTTCTTTTGCTTTTTGCGAATTACTGTTTAGAAAGTTCGTGAAATTGCGTATTCAACTCCAAAAATTTTTGTTTTTAATACCAAAATAGTGTTTTCTCATATTTGTTTGAACATGCACGGTTGGCATTTTTTCAAAAGTTCATTTCACTTGTATATGCATAAAATGTTAACTCTGCGAAGTGTGAAGCACTATAAATTGCGGAGCTATGTAAATTACTATTCTAATTATGTAGTGTTGTCTGGGTATTAAAATTCTAATTGTCTTCGTTTAGCACTGGTAGAATTATATGCAAATTATTCTCAGAGTGATAGTGTATGGGCTGCAGTACTATTTCTTCAGACAGTTAGTATTCTGGGAGTGTAGTTTTCAGTTTTATTTTTGAAACGGTGCTCCGTTAAAAAGTTTTAGCTGACGAGAGACAGATTTGCTAAATAGTTGAGAAAAATGTAACATGGATGTTTTTGTGTGTTGCACTGAAACAAAAGTCGTAGAATCAATTGAATGTTTTTGAGGTTTAAGTATTGATCGTTTCAGTTAATCCTAATTCTCTCTCGTTCGTTTTCAGCAGATGTCCGCGTGAAATGTGACTTAGTATTGCGCTTCTAGTCGTATGACATGAGATTCCAGTTATTTGTGTCACTTTTGCAAGAAAAGCAATAAGTTCTTGAATTTGTGTTTAAGAACAATGTGACACGTGAATGAAAAGTTATACATATCGGTGAGTAAGTATATTACACGATTTTTAACCAATTACTCATAATGTTTACCATTTCATTCCTGTTTACCATTTGAAAATAGTAACATGAATTCTTATCACATGGTTTGCGCATGTTTGAATGTGCGTACATGTGAATAAAAACGTACGCGCGTATGTTTGTATATTTACTTTTGCACCTGTGAATAATGTATGCACACATATCTGAGTAAACGTCTGCATGCAAGTTTGTTTTTGTTTTTGCTTCCATTTGTGCGTTGTGTTGTGTTGTGTCGATACATTTATGCACCTATGCTAAGATGAAATATTTTTTACGGCTTATGAAACTTAAGAATTAGCGTAAATAAGCTGTGCTGTTATTTTTCCAGACATAAGAACTGATCATGCGTTGTTTACGTCTGAGTCTATGCTTGTGTGTAAAAAGGAAAATAATTACATAGATGATGGAGAGGATAAAGTATAGGAATGTGATATAATAGGTTAAAGAGCACAATTTCAGGGCTAGCTGACTAGCTTGCTTGGCGCTGAATGATTCCTCCGATATTGGATGGATAGATAGATAGATAGATAGATAGATGGATAGATAGATTGGTAGATAGATGAATTGATGTTGTGACTTGTATGTTTGTTTGTTTGCTTGCTTGCTGGCAGTGTTGTGGCTAGGAGTAGTATTTGGCTGTTGCTCAATGCCAGAATTGTTCAACTTTTTGACGATAAGAGAGTGATGGAATGTTGCTTGAGGTATAATGATTTAGTAGCAATATTTTGTCTTATCTTGCAGAGCAAAGCTCGAGAATTATTTATCACATTGCTGCGCTAAGCATATTCTGTGACACTACTCGCTCCTTCGCACTTCTTTTTTGTACAGTCATTTGGGCATGTCTTTATTCAAATATGCTCAGTGATAACGAAGTGATAATAATCAGTGTATCAATTAATCATTACTGTTGTATTAATATTAGTAATTATTAAAAAACTGATCAAGTGAAAAGATGTAACGATGTTTATAGTGATAGCATTATCAATGATTAATCATGGTTACTTTATAATGAATGCTGTGTAAAAAATAAATGCTTTGTTTTGGTTTTTATGGTAGAAGTGATGGGAGTTCTTTAAATTATTTTAATTTTGATTAGACTTGTTGATAATGAATGCATTAACAAGCTGGATAGAACGTTGTAGCGAGTAGGCCCTGATCTGAAGTAATGGCAATACTTGAAAACTGAAATATTTCTCATACAGCTCTAATCTTTTCATACCTAATCAATTCTAAAATTTATTCCATTCCCCTTTTAATTGCTCCTTCTTATTGACTTCAGTTGATGCTGTGTGCTTCATGCAGATTCTTACAAACGAATTTTACTTCATTTTTCCATATTGATTACTGTTCTGGTCTCTTTATATATATTGCTGTTATTAATGACCATTATTATTTATTATTATTATTGACATAAGCAATATTGGTTCTGCCACTTTGTTGTTCAATTTCTCTATTATTTATTAATTTTCTTGTAGAAAAGTTACAAAACAAGAAAAATAAGAAGTTGACAGGAATCGAAATTTCTTTACTGAAATATTTCATACCTGCTTTTCTTCTTATTTTGGCAGGAAATTCAAGGAACTTGAATTTGCTTATGAATCAAAAAATACATGGTTAGTGTTTTCGACTGTATTTTTTTGGCTCTTTGACTGTTCGTTGTCTAAGTTCTGATTTTTTTATTTGTCTTTTTTCGATTAATTTAGATCATTCGCATTTGTACTTGGCTAAGCTGAAATTGCTTTTGAATTTATAGTTTGTAAGTTATATTATAAAGAGGAATCTCATATAAAAAATATTGGAATTTTTGTTTATTAGTTCAGATACTTTTTCAGAAATACCACTTTATCACTTTTAGGTGATTTTTGTACGAAAATATAAGGTTTCAAAAGCACTTGGGAAACTATACAACTGCTATGCTTGCTCCTTAGATTTTAGAAGGAATTAAATCAAAAATGCTAATGTTGACTCTCATTTCACAAAAACAAAGTTTAATCACAGAAGAAATCCATAAACTTTTTACGCAAATCACTTATATATCAATAATTTTTGAGTCATATTTGTATAAATGTCTATTTTCCTATGACTTTTTGTCGAAACTTATTTCAAGTAGAGAGTTATTCTTATAATGTTAAGACAGTATTGAGAACTGAGGAGTATGCAACGTATTTTCTGTTATTCTGTTGCAAAAATTAAAGAACAAAGAATTTTTTGAAGCGACATGAGGGATTTGTTAAGTATTCGCTCTTCTATCATTGAAGAATTCGCATTAACAAATTCAAAAAATGAAGCAGTAACGAAAAGTTGAAGTAACTATTAAATGTCAAACTTGGTGTGTCACGTTGCAGAGCCGAATATGGCAGAGATATTGTCTTAGTAATGATCGGAGACACTTTTTGTTCTTTGTCAAAAAACTTGCTGGAAGGAAAGAAAAAAGCCATATTTTCTCCAAAAATAAATGGTCTGTCATGATTTGAGTGGTGAATAGGTCACGTGTATTACTTAGAAAAAAAGCTGTATGCTAACAATCCAAATTCTTTTTGCTTTTGATAATTTTGCTCAATTTTTGCAGTTTGCTCAGATATCTTAGTAGAATGAACGATAAAAGTTCTCTCTAAAAAACTTGAACAGTAAACAGTTTTCACTGAAAACAGCAAAAGTGTGTTTTATACGCTAAAATTCGTAAGCATCAGAGTTATAACTCAAAGATTAGTGTGATATTTGAACCTTGAACTTGAACAACAAACAACAGTGGCTCAGTAGACAGATGCAAGTGTGTGAGTGTGTGTATTTATATATGCGTATGTATGCGTCTGTGTAAGATAAACATGTCAATAATTTGCAAACAAATCGTATTAAAAACTTATTATGCGAGTATCGATAATGTATATGTCTAAAGTTCTTTTCATCATTATTATCTCACTGAAATTACGCACAAACTATGCCTTTTTCAATTGATGTTTTCAATGAAAACGCAGCAACAACACAAATACACTTACTTCCTCTTACCATTTTCGGATTTGGATGCGTGCGTCTGTGTTTATTATCTGTTTGTGTGTAAGCATGCGAATGTTCATTTTGGAACTATGAATGACTTGTTATTTACAGCGAGGCAGTATATATTAGTAAGAATCAATTTTATTATTATTATTATTATTATTATTATCATTATTATTATTGTTAGCAACTCACATCACTCTTACGTATAATGTAAGGAAAGTTATGTATACTACTGCAGTGAAGTATTATAGTGTAAATTAAGGCAGTGGAGTTAATGATGAAAATAGACTAATACTTATTGGTGTATTAACTAAAAATAAAATAACGTTTTTCGTTGGTCGTAATAATTTTTCAGAGAGAGTAAAATAGCTTCTAACACATTCTCATGCGTATGCATTCGTAAAGTTAAAGCGTGCAAGAATTTCTCATTGTGACTGATTTTCAATATTTTGTTGAAGAATATTAGTTGTTGTTGAATAACATTCTTCAACAAAATGCTAGGTTGAGTTTGTCCGATCATTTTGATACAGTTAGAAAACTGTCTTCTGAAACAATATATAACTTCGTTATGAAGATTATCGTTGAACTGTTAATCATATCTTTCAGCTACTTTAATGCGCTGCGATTTTTATTGATATGGTAGTTTAAAATTTTTTATAGCATTACGAAGAATCAGAGACTGAATTTCGAAAACGGTTAAGCTCACGTGCGGAAAAAGTGGCGACACATAAAAGTCAAGGTGGTTATGAATCAAAAGTCCATGCAGAATCAGCCAATACTTTATCTCGAAAGAACGGCGAAAAATTTAATTTCTTTGAAGATGAGCAGGTAGCATTAATATGGTCTTATTTATCAAAATTTGATCATTTGATCCCGTCTTTTCATAATTAGCTAATGTGTAGAAGAATTTTCAAGTCTTTTTAAATGTCTATTGTCTTCACAGTCTTAGATTGTTCAAGCCTGAGGGATAAATTTTCTGAGATTCACTTTTGTTTCCCCCTTTTTTATATTCTTGGTCTTTTTTTATTACTGAATGCGTTTGAGTGAGTATCTAGTATTTAAAACTAGTATTTTGAGAATGAATATTCGTAGATATCATTTGCTACTCTTACGTCATCGTTAGTTTTGTAAAGTGCTTAAATATTGCAAATTTTTCAAATCAGACATCAACAGCCTGAAAGCTGTCAATATTAATTCGCAAAATTTTCATCTCATTAAACAACACATTTTAAATAAACCATTTTTTTGTAATAAACTCAGCATTTTCTTGTTAGAATCACTTTTTGTGATAATTTGCAATACATGATTTTTACTGCTGATTGGAAAAAATATTACTTCATTAGCAGAGTTCAGATTATTTGAAAAGATTGTTTATTTTTTCAGGTGAAGAAAACAGGCTCTATTTTTGAAAGAAGAAAGAATATGCAATATGTGAAGGAAGCACTACCGAGAGCTCGTCTGAACGGCTTTCATATAAAAGTTTAAGATTTAATACACTTGTTTTTTAATCATTTGATCTTAGTAAAATAGTAGTGCACATCATAAATTATTTTGCAAGTGTAAGTATGTTTTCTCTCCTTTGCTTAGAAAAATTATTACCCTGAATTGTTAGCCCCAGCACCAAATTCAATTAACATCCTCATTTGCGAATATATATATAGAGACTTCCATGAATACGTAAAGCTTTAGATGGAAGACGATTGCCCACAAGGGGGAGACGATACAAGACTTTCAGTACTTCGTGCTCTAGGTACCCATAATTCCCGAACGGTACCCTGTATATTATGTGAGCAGGAATTGGTTGTTTATGACCGATATCCTCTTATTGATGGTACATTTTTTCTTTCTCCTTTACAACATTCGAAAGCTGCCATCAATATGAAGTTTGAATCAAAGTTAGTTGTGTATTCCGTTATATTTTTATATTAACATTCGTAGACTTTGTAGTGCTAAATTACAAGAAAATATTAAGTTATTTTTGATTTGTTTGTTGTTTCAAAATTTTCGCAAATATTTACAAAAATTTCTTAAAACTTTTAAATTGACTTTTTGCTCATTATAAAAGTTATATTAATGATTGGCTAATTGTAGAAATATTAAAACACTTTGCTAATGTTCAAAAAGGTTAATGGATTAATGAATAGATAAATTTACTGGTTGATTTTAGAACAGGATATTTGCATGCAATTTGCATCTCCTGCATGCATGCAGAGTGGAAATGTCCAGGTTGTGGTAGCGGTGCGTGGTTTCTTGGTTCAGCTCTAATCGTTGGCACACTCTATACTTACGACGTTTTGTCAAGCACTGCTTGTTGTATACCTGTTTGTAGGCACTGTCGTGCTCCATCGTTAATGTGCATATGATGTTATGCAAAAATGATTTTATGCATACATTTTTTTAAAGGATAAAACCAATCATCTGTTATGTCTCAATAACTGCTCTACCACATCAACTGTGTCTTTTTTGGGTTTTCGGCTTTTCAACTATTGAAAATATGTATAAAGTAGCAATGGAATTACCACACATATTTTAATTAACTTTTCTGATTTGATCCGTCATGTAATAACTCATAATATGTGTTGCATACCTCCTCTATTGGTTATTTGTATTAATTTGTATATTTTCTGTAGTAATAAATGTCACCTAATGAAAATCTCACTTTCTTCGTCTCTCATAGGTATCTCTAGTTTGTTTTGCTTTTTTCTTCGTTGAAAAATAATCAGGTATAGAGATTGAGTCGGTTTTATGAATCTAATCAAATGAGTCAGTCAGTGTTTGCTCGTATTTTTCATTTTTGTACACATCATATAATTTCACTTATATCCATGTAATTTCATACGAACATTGGTCTCGATTATATCTATGTACTGGTCTTCTCAGACAGTTCTTTTACTACCTTAAATATGTTTACTAGTAGAAAAACTAGTTACAAAGCGTAATTTGCAGTGCTAATAAAGTTCGCTGGTTCAAAATGATTTTTGACAAGACTGTTGTATTCCATGATGATTTCATGCAGTTATCGTAGCTGAATAAATTGCACTATATTTACAAACTATTTTTGGTCGCGTAAAGAAAAACTTATTAGTGTATTAAATGTACGGTACTAATTTGCTTGCTGTCGTCTGCTGCATATTAAATATTCCTCATAGCTTGAATTATCAGAATAAGTAGGTTATGATTAGTTGAAATGCTTGAATCTCTGTTGAGGGAATTATCTGCAGTTGGTAACTTGCGTCATTTCACAGTCGGTTTGCATAGCTGCAATGGAGTGGTTTCCGTTAGAGTTCTTCCCGTGCTGTCAGTTTGCAAAAGGTGTTGTACATGTTTGGGAAATAATCACTGTAACGATAAACTTCTGAATAAAAGTTTCACCGTAAGTTCTGATTATCGTTTTTGTATTGAAGTAAGTATTTCACGCTGTAGCAATTATTAAAAATAAATCATCACAATTGTGGTTGGTGTCTTTCATGCATGGCAATTATGGGAAAATAAATTTGACTGAAAATCAAAAAATTCCATAAAAACAGAATTTGATTTACAATGCAAAATGAATGAATGAATAATTGGGTGTGGCATTAATGCAGTAATGTTTGCGTCTCTTTGTGATCGTTAAATATTAATATTTCTGCTCGCATTGAATCGTATGCAATAATTTCAAGTTCTGAGTTTGTACTGCAGCTTTGTGTCTTCCTCCAGCACTTCGTCTTATCTCATACTTTTCTAAGGAGAGCTGGTGTGGAGCAAAAATTCTTCAGCAGTGCCGTGGATAACGTCATGAACTTCAAAACGATAAGTAATGTCGTCAGCTTCAGAATTTGAAGTCATTAACTAAATATTTAGTATAAATACTTGAAACTGCCGACTGAATTTACTCGCATTTATTTCTTGCATAGTTAATGAAGCATTTTTAATGAACTATTATGTAATTACTTTTTTAGAAATAATCCACTGTCAAGAAAAGCCGTGAAAGTTACGTGTAATGGCAGATTTATTAGCAATCATCCAATATCAAATACTTCACTTCCAGTTGTTTTTTCGCCTTTTTTGTTTTTTTCAAATTATTCAAATTATTCATCTAATTTTGGCCATGTCAACCGGTTGCAAAAATTTTCAAAATTTTATTAACATTGTAATGAATTTATACAATAAAAGGAAAGGAGGGAATGAAGATAATGATAGGGACAAAAGCTCATATTACTCTACTCAAATAACTAAGTATTGTCTAGCTTATTGGTGATCGCAATTAGATGGAGATCAGATTTTCTGAGGTGGCTAGAGGTCTTAGATAGGTTTTATGAGGTTAAGTAGTTTTAGTAAGAACCTCCCGCTGGGTCTCTCATGTAATAACCTTCAGCCCTTGTTCATTAACATCATCGTAATTTTGGCCATGTCAAACGGTTGCAAAAATTAACTTCTATTGAATTTTCACAGTACATTACGGGTCATGCAACTTACTGCACAACGAAAATTACATTTCTTCGACAATAAGTACTAAACTGCTTTTGTCTTTTGTAGGAATATCACTCTCCATAACCTCTATCTATCTCACTTATTTGTTAATAAAATTTACACATAAAAATGACTTTGATGGATGTACAAAAGATATAAATGCATGAAAATATGAATTATATTAATCTTAATGTTTGGTTATACACCTCAGTAGTGAAATATGATTCAATAGAATTTTTCAGTACTAAAATGAACTGAGGTTGAATAAATGTGCTTCAAAGTTTAAGCAGTTATGAAGGATATGTGATGCTTCACTGAAAATAAATAACTCTTTACTAAAGTAATGGGAGATTGCTAAATAGCGCTTTTCTTATTTAAAAATTTTTAGTAACTGATAGTGAGGTACAACCAAATTTTGTATTTCAATCGAAGATTGAGAGAATTTAAGCATACTCGAGGATACAGAAAAACTGGTGTTTTTTAAATAGCTTTGAGGCAATATCTAAGTTTTATAAGGTGAAATTTGACGCAAGTGAATGTGAAAAAGTGACCAAATCACTCATAACGTTTATACAGTTTTAGCAAAAAGTAAATGCAGAAACAGTCTCTCATATTAATTCATATACTCACATAATAAAGTTCTCGCTTTGTTATTTTCTGAGAAATGTTTATTGTTCTTTTACTGTAATGTTTACCATACGCGAAGACAAGATACCATTTATATTGAACATTTAGAACAATAGGATTTCTATGTGTGCAGGGAATGCATGACATGAATAAACATTGCTGTAATCCGAAGTAATGCCTAAACAAATAAATTTGCATACGATCACAAAGCACAGACTTTCGTACTAAAAAGTAACCATCCACAACAAAAACAGTAGCTTCTCGTGATAACCAAGAAAAAATTCAGATTTTTGTTGCCCTCTGAGTAAAATACTACGTAGAAAGTACTTGGAAACTAAACAACCACTAGCAATTACTAATTTCAAGTTATATTCATCGAAAACTGAGAAATATGTTTTGAGTAAATAAATGAATAAATTTTCAAAGTTTTTGATTAAAATTTGAAATAAATTATGCTTCGAAAACTTAATTTTATGATACAATAGCTATTGTTGTAAAAATGAAAAACATTGTCTGAGTGCTAATTAACTGAAATAATTACTAAAAGTATTAGAACTGAATATTAAGCAGAAATTCATTAATACATAAGTTTTGTAAGCAATAGATCAACTTTGTATTTGGTATACTTGAGAATTTTAGAAAATGAATTTAGTCTGGAGTGTCTATGAGTCTTGCATCGGATAAGTTTATTAGCAGATAGCTACTGATAGATGATGGCACTGACAAGATGTTCGTATAATATGCATATATTTATATAAATACTGATATATAAAATACATGTTAATTATCTAAAAAAAACTTCAAAAAACTTATAAGATAAATTTTTGAAGAATCTAAATATATAAATAAGTCAGCATAGGGATTATATATACTGACTTATCTATATATTTTAAAAACATGAAAAAATTCAATTATACTTATTATATATAAGCAAATAAATAAAAAACGGAAACTAATTTCTTTATATGATATTGATAATATATTTTTATTAAAAAAGAATTCACTTATATATATATCAGTGAATCCTTTTTTTTCAATTGTGGTTGGTTTTGTTTACGTAGTTCTGTAAGATTTCGAGACGATAAGAAGCCCTCAGATGACGCCAGTTTGCTCACCTAAAGCTTTTTTCTTTTGTACAATGAAACAACTTTTCTATTAGCACTGAGTGCAAAACAATTTTGCTTTTTTCTGGTACCCAAAATTTCTTGGAAACATATTTTTTGAGCATGTGAAACTTATAATATTTTGCATGGGTCTTTCTTACTTTTTCATTCATTCTAGTTCTTCTTCTTAAGATAGTTCATAAATGCAGTAAGAATTAATGTAATGTTTTGTAATGCGAGATAGTAGCAAAGTCAGACTACTTGCGCAGCTTTAAGTTGAATAAATGTTGCACTGCTCTTTCAAGCAGATAACTTAGTCTGTAAAATATGTGCTGTGAAAACGAAATATATTTAATGCAACAGAATAATAAGTATAGAAGTGAGACAACACTTGTTAGCGAAAATTATAAGATGGCATTGAGTATTGTGATTGTAATATATTTAGTTTTACAGATTATTTTGCACTGTTTATGGCATTAACTTGGAAGAGATCCATGATTTAAGCAAGCTTTTGTTTCGTTTGTAAGCAATTTTTTTCGCAAGTATTTTGTCACAAATTACGATTGAAAGTAACGTTTGGAGCCAAGAAATCGTGGAATGAATTCATCGTTAGTATTTTCTTAAAGAATTTATTCATCGACGACTGTATAATTTTTGTTAGTTGAAGCAGTGCAGTGATACCGGGCGATTAATAACAATGAAAGCCAAATGAGTGTGATGAAAATTTGCATAATTAATCTAAAAGGGATGAATTTTTAGCTCTGACAGAAATTTGAATATTTTGAATATAAAATTTGTCATTTCAAAAAGTGTTTGAATAATAAATAAGTATAAATACAAAAAGTAAACTTTCAAATGAACACCTGTGTTTTGCACGTTAAGTCTGCAATAAAAATGTCATATGGCTTATATTGTCAGTGAAGGGATGAAATGGCGAAGGAAACGTCGTAAGGTATTATTGTGAACGAAAAAGCAACAAAGTGGAAAGCAAAGCAAGCAGTAGACAATATTCTCTCGCAAGCATTTCGGGTCGGACACCAATCAACGGACAATGGTGCTCGCTCAAGCGCGAAAATTTCAATCCAACAGGTCAAAATGTTGGCTGCAAAAGTAAGAAAGTCTTGCGCAGCACTTCCTGTTACCTTCACTTTAATTAGCTCAACAAGTAATTCTTATTTGGCATCCTTGATTAATTCCCCAATTTCTCATCTTCATAATCGTTATTATTACCAATATTCTATTCTTTTCCATTATATTCTTGTCAACCAATTTCACCTTTTGACCTAAAGGTTACTTAAAAATAAAATATTACCTTCGCCTTGTGACATCTTCAAGTCTACTTTCAGCACTTGTCAAAAATTTTCGTTAGTTATTGATTACTAATAATCAGCACTGATGATGATTAATTTAGCAAAAGCTCAACAAATTTGACCTAAAAATTTAAAGTGGAAATCTGTTTTTATGTACTGCGACTATCTTTTTGTATTACATTCCTACTCAAAGATAGAACGATTTATTTGTATCAAAATTTGAAAAAGCAAGCAAATATATCATGACGTTCTAAGCTGATATATTTTACTTTTTTTCTGCGTGAAAGCTAAGTTTCATCTCAAAAAATAGAAGATAGAAAATGCAATCTTCCATGTTCACAGCAAACCTCTACACAACAACCTCTACTTCAAGTCATATTGATATCTTTGTGTGGTTATTAACTTGCGAGTCGAAAATTATAAAAGTAAACTTATCTTACAACAAGCAGAAATAAGCCTTGGCATATCTTATCGATATTTGCTTGCAAGCATCATTCTGTACGGAGGCGACACAATGATAAAAGCCTTAATACTAGTATGTTTTCTAGTTTCAGATGTTTGGATATGTGTGAATAATGTGAATATAAGTTGTAAAAGATATAATACTGTAGCGGATTTTATTCATTTGACTTTATGTTATCACATCTGTTAGTGGTTAATAATAAATGACTACTAATGTTTATCACTGCTATCACTATAGCAATCGTTGTAGCAAATTAAAATCAAATGAGCCCGAAATTTTCAACTTTTGAATTAAATGAAAAATGCAAAATGCAAAAAATTAGCTTAATTATCAGTTGTGCACATTCTTTTGCTGGTGTAACGAAGCAGAATAAATATAAATACTTTGAATACTTATCGCCAATGCTTTTTGGTGATAATGCAGGGTCAGTATTATTTCCGATCACTTTTAACCTAAAAAAATACTCGCGGGTCACGCTCAGATTGCGGCATTGTCTCATATATTTTTAAAATATGGAAGAGTGAATTCCTGCCAAGAAAGCATGCTTCCAAAAAATGTGCATAGAAAAGTAACAGCTCTGTAGGTTTTGCTGCTTCTGATTTTTAACAAGCCAAATATTTAAAAGTATCAGTTCAGTGACATCCTTTCTTCATTTGGCACTTAGTCTGAGAGTTCAAGTTCATGAACTAAGGCTGACTTTGACAGAAATTGATTGCATGCATCCATTCGAGTATTTCTGCATATACTCCATCTTTCTTTAGAAAAGGTTTTGAAGCAAACATGCTTGGAGGTATTTGAATCATAAGTGAAAACAAATGTAAAACAGGTAAGGTTGTTGGAAAATCCCCGTGAAGGATACAGAAAAGCAACATATATATGAATTTGTTACAAAGCACAAAATGGCAGATAATTCAGTAAAAATCCATTTCTGAAGGCATTTCAATTTTATTTCAATAAATTTTGTAATCATTTAGTATTAAGTAACAAATGCGAAAATTGGCTAGCTCAGAATTTCATTCATTTCAATTTCATACGGTCAACTTTAGTAAGCAAAGTGGTAAAAGACTATTTGAGCTAATTTAAGCACATCAAAGTTAGTCATAACAATATTAAATAAATGCGATAAACTTTGTACAGCATTTTTAACGGAGGAAAAATGTAAGACGCAACAATTTCGCTCTCTGGTGAGCTAATTTCACACTACGTTCTCATGTTATGAGCCTTCATGAGTCTAAAAATAGCTTTATAGTTCGTGAGCTAAATTTCGCTGTAAAGACTTCAGCTTTGTTTTGTTCAAGCAGCTTGAAAAGCTTCTTTTGTGCAAAAAATGAGACTCAAAACTTCAAACTTTGATTCTTTGGCAAAATTTACAACAAAAGTGCAACAATTCACAATGCTTCAGCTCATATTTCAACTCAATAAAAAGCTTTTTAATGTTTGCATTCAGCAAGTCAATTTCATGTCAAGTCAAAATACGCTCTTTTCCCAAAAATGCAAAGCAAATTGATGCTTCTCAACTTTGCCTTTAATTCATTTAGTCATTACTTTTGTGTACTGAAATCACTGGTAGTAATTGAAGTGTTAAAACTTCTGGTTCAGTACGTTTTAAAGAATAGTTTCTCTTCACTGATGGCAACAAAAATTAACACGTTTTTCTTATTATTGAATTTGAGCTGTTATAATTGTTGACTTTATTTGGTATTTTAGTTCATGGAGTGTTACTGAACTGTTGTTTTGATTGGTTAAAGGAGGGTAAAATGTATTCATATTATTTGTTTTTTTTGCTTTTGAAGTTATCCATTTCTGGTTCAAAAGTTGAAATTTCTATTTTCAAACACAATCACTTTTTCATTATTCAATAAATTGTTTGGCAGTTTGCGCGCTTTTTCTCATAATATATCATACTTGCATTCTGATAACAAATTTCAACTAAGCTACTATTGGAATTGGGCACGCAAAACACGTCGCGTTTTTTACTTGCACTTGGAACGTTCGACTTGTTCTCACTGCAATTTATGGGCGGAACATTGTGGAGAAGAAGTGTTGCAGCAAATGGCGGTGACGTGCTGACTACTGTACTTGTAGTATAGGCGTGAGAGGCGGAGACTCAGTTGAGAGATGTGGCTTGCTTCGCTCCTCCCATTGTTGATTTCAATTCTTTGCTACTACGAAGGTTGCTGCGATCTTCTTGGCAGGTCTAACGTGCCATTTGAATGCTTTGATCTGTAAATTTAGTATTTTTTATAATTTAGCTCTAAATGCCAACCTAAAAAAATAAAAGTTTTCTATTGTATAAAAAATCCTAGCTCCGAAATCTAGAACTAAAATTGTGAAAATTAAAAATATTGTAATTCTAATTCGAAAATTCAAAATTTCAAAATCCGGGAACTCAAATTTTTATTCTGAAGCAAGCATTAGTCCCTAGTTTGAAAGCTTAAAGCCACTATCTTAATTTATAACTCCTAATTTCAATTTGCAAAGTTCAAAAATATCATTAGATTACTTAAATATTTGCTCGTTACCTGAAATATACGATTTAAATTTTCGTAAAGATATTTTTCAGTAATGTTATTGCATAAATGCAATTTGGTTGAATTTTTTGCTATTTCGTTCGCATTTTTCAAGTTTTAGCAAAAATTCTTAGTCAAAAAAATTACAAATTTTATTAATGTGTGTTATATTTCGGTTTATATTTTGCGTGACTGATCTCTGAATCTCAAACTTGTCCAGAGAACCAATCACGCTTCACAGTTAACGCAGTTTATAGTGAAAATAACAATACGTTGCGGTGAATATTGCATGTTTTATTCTGTTTTCGAGTGCTTCTTGAATCGTATACTACAGTTTCATGAAACAAATTGCTATTTGCTTGCTTCAGCAACAATTTAATTTTTCAGGCTTTGGTATTGTCAACTTCGAAGTTATTGTCAGTAGCGTCTGACAATCTGCAAAAGAAACTTTGATGTTCATAGTTTCTTGTAGTTTATTACAACTATTCGTCTAATTAATTGTTTACATAAATTTCGAACAGTTATTAATTTGACTTCTTTCTGATTGGTTTATAGTCAAAAAATTTAATAGTTGGGTAGTTACTGTGAATAACTGTTTCTGCCTTTGTTTTTGATTCCAGTGATTAGTGCAGATTATCTTTGATAACGACAATATTAGCTGGAAAAATTAGGAAATTTGAGCAAGCTGGCAAGTCTGCTTCTTCACTGTGGCGCATTCCCCCGTCACGATTTGGAACATCATCAGAATCCCGGGGAAAATCTTGGAATTGCGCGGACACAACTTCAGTCTCGATATCAATCAAAAGAATACGCACGTTGCAGCAGCAATAGTAGTGACGATATAAGCAGCAGCGGGAATAGTGATAACAATAACAATACTAATACTAGTCTCATTAACTACAGTAATAACTGTATTAACGAAAGTTACTTGGGCCTTTGGTCGAGACCGAATGGTCAGCAAATAGCTGTATCTTCCTCTGCCTCATCTGAGCGAACCTCTGATGATAATTTAAACAGCAAAATGTACGACCAGCATCCACCTATTACTGATAATTACTCAATGGTCATTGCTACATCAATTGATGTTAATAGTAAAATTACTTGTAATGGAACAAGTATGACGCAGATAGACAACGAGAATCAAACTCATTTAAGTAAATTTTTTTCTCTCCGATCGTTTTTGAAAGTTCAGAACAAAAGTTAGCTTCAAATAAGTAAACATCATTCAGGAAATTACTCTCTCGACTAGCGCTGAGTGTTCAGAATTATGCTTGAAATTATTTTTTGGATTATTATTAACAGTTTTTCCTCCCATTTGTTCATTTATGAGCCGTAGTTTATTTTTTCTACCTTTACGAATCTCAGCATCACAGTTCATCTTTAATTTGCTCGTCAAATGAAGTTTTTAAATTAGTTAGTCTCTCAAAATTCGTGAGATCATTCAAAAAGTTTCCTCTTCCTTATCAGATCAATCAAGTCAAAAGCCAATTTTGGTATTTGCTGTTTCGATAGCACTTCATATTTACTGAAGTGCCGAGAATCTCTTTTTTGGATCATATCAATAAATGAATGCATTCAACATTTATCCGTCATTCTACAACCGATTTATACTAAAGTTTGGGAAATTGCTAAAATTATTGTTTAATTTATTCAAAATTTAAAAATGGAGTGTAATTTTAATCAGTGAGAACTATGTTTGATGCTTTCATAGCTAAATTATATATTTTTAAAAAAGCCTTCTATAATTGCTGAGAATTTTTGATTGCAATTTTATCAATTTGATTCAAGCTTTATTTTTGCTTGAGTCTTGCATTACCAAAACAAAAATTTTATCTCTAAGATGGATTTGTTTAACAGCGATTTACGTCAAGTTTTTATTTTCAGCAAGTTTGAATGAATCTCATCTCATCTCATCGTCTATCTTAACTTCTCGATTTAAGATGAATTTTATTTACTTATCGAGCAAATAATGTTTCAATCATATCATCGAATCTATTTTTTGCATTCATTTTGATCGTGTTTTCTTTCATTTAACCATCAACTATTGAGTAGAGTATGTAAAATTTTCGGAGTAAATTTTGCATTTCCATTGATTTAATTATAATTTTTGCATAAATAAGTCATTAATTTCAATGAAGCCAAGCAAATTTTTGAAATAAAATGTTAGGTTGAGGCAGATTTTGAAGTGAGATTTGAAAAATTATCGAAGCGTTTCCCTAAGGATTGGTTGCAAAGTTCATCGAGAACAGGTAGGAAATCATAAAATGCAGCACCAACACCATTATCACCACCCAGCGATGACGAATAATACATAAAACGAAGGAACAGCTCACTCCTCAGCCATTCATACCTCTCTCTCTCAATATAAGCCAATATTTGCATAATTACTTAAATTGGAAGTGTTAGAAAAATTTACATCTCATAAATACATCATTCACAATCTCTTTGTTATTCCTCATTTGTCGATCTTTGCATTCATAATTCACTTATTCATATTTGCCACTGATAATTTGATGAAAAACAAATAATTTAATTTGAAAAAAAAGTAAATATAAGGTAGTTTTGAATTGCTTCGATTGAATTCTGGAGAACGAAAATAAATCTTATAGACTTTAAGGAAAATTTCCATTGTTTCAAGACCTTACTCAAAAATTTGAAAATATTTGAACAAGTTTTAATCGGCAGAAAAATATATTATTTGAGCAGACATAATTTCTTAGGTCAGAGATTTTATATTGAGAAAGGCTTTGTTAGACATTCAACAAATCCATTTAGCTCTAAAACTGAAAATGCTGATTATAGCTATATCATATCATTACGAGGTCGTTTTAGAGCCATTTCAAAAGGCAACCAAAAGCGACATTTTCGCTTCGGCTAATAATTTTGGCCAAGCATCTGGTTTTCTAGGCTTGACTGATTTATGGGAACTATTTAATTAAGCAACTGAATTTGTTCGCTTACTTACAGACTTATTTATTTATTTCGACCGAAGCTGATGTCCATTTTTAGCAAAACTAAACAATTTCCAACAAGTTCGAGAAATCATATTTCTTTTAATACATGTTTAGTGCATTTTTTGATCTGTCTTTACTACAACAACCAAAATCTAGAACAAAGCTTGAATTTAAAATTTTAACTCATATTTAAATGCATCTATTTGATATAGTACCTATCCTTTTCATTTAAAGCAGTTACATTTTTATTACTTTAGTGATTTCTATCACTTTTAGAACACAGTTTTTTGATTTCACACTTTGATATGCCTTACAAATTCACTTCCGTATGAGAACAAGAAATACCCTCGAAACTGCGTGCTTCTAAAACTCTTTTGACTGCAAGTTATTTCAGAAGGGAATAGATTTGCTCTCATTGATCTTATCCAAAATTTTATCCGCAAGTAGGCACTAATTATAAAGCAATTTCTATCGATGTAGCTAAAAATGTGTATAAAAATTAATTCAAAGTATTTGATTGCTATTAATGAGTATCAGAGGTTAAGCTGAACAAAAATTCATGCGATGATTCTGAATAATTAACAGGATCTGAAGGGAGCAGACGGCAACAGCAAGGGCATCGATTGTGTATTGGATGCTTGCAAGGTATGGCACGAAATTCACACATAATTCATGAATTTTTTATTTTCAATAATCCAATATTTTTGAAAATTTCCAGTTCATTATTTCACACGCTTTATCAATTAAACTTGAAGTATTTTTGAAAGGGAAATTCTAAAAATCTAAACAAACTTCCTCTTTATTCATTTTTACAAATATTTCAATAAACAATTAATAATCAATAACCTAAACTGGAATTAATTTATTTAAAATTCAATAATTTTTTTAAAAAAGACTAGTTTTACTACAGAAATTCGTGACCCATATGTATTACGAGTTGATCCCGATCTAGAATTCCACGCAGGTTGCTTAAAGGTTTGTTTGCTTGTAAAAAATGTATAAGATTATAAACTTTACTACTTCCATCAATATGTGTCATATAAACTAAATTAGAATCAAATTTTTAAGAAATAATGATTTCGGAATTATAGATGTATTAATGATAACTGTAATTGCAATTATGCAAATTGTCCTTAGCAATAATCACTTTTGACAGACATGCAATTTGTTAACAATAAGTTTTGTTTGTATTTACGTAACTTTGGTTAATAAAATTAATCCGTTTGAAGGTGCTAAGTGGTACTTAAGGCTCTTCCAGGCTCACACTTCATTAGTTTAGCTCAGTCAATAAAGAACTGTTGCTTGTTCCTGCTTGTTTACGCTAAGATTAACATATACTTACTATACAGTAAGTATCAGCTGTTTTTCTTCCGTAATTTTAGATTACCAAAGTTGTAATGAACAATTTATACGCAACTGTATAGTAAGTATATGTTAATCTTAGTAAAATTTTAGCAGACAAAGCATTCAATTTTATTGCAATGGAAAATTGCAAAAGTAAAATTTCAAATGTTTCAAAATGGGACTAAATTCGCAGAAATGAACAAATTTATCTATAAAATTCAGATTTTTTCTCTTCGCTAATAAAAACAGCGGATCGCAGGGTCTCGTTGTTCGCTGAGCTTATCACACACTCTAGCACTTCCAGAAACTTTCCACAGCTCTTCCAGCTCTCAAGCACTAAAAATAAGCTCTTTAAAGAAGAAATATTTTCAAAATTCATTTGCAAAACTTAAGAAAGTATGATAGTAAATAGCATTAGATGCAAAAGTTTATGCTAATAACTCCTATCAACCATTACTGAAATCAATCATTTATGTAATATTGCGTGTTCACTTTTAATTCTTCCATGAAACTGCGGCGAAGACTGAAAGAGCTATTCCAAATTACCAACTACTGCTAGTACTACTAGCATAATGCTTCACCTGAACTGACTGATTTCCTATCATTGCTATCTCACATGCCAAATCCATCTGATCACTTATCAATGAACTTAATAAAAAATGATTTTAGCAAATAATAGAGCCAATCATTTTTTCCTTTGCTAGAATCTTCCATCCTTTTAGTGATGGCAGAAAGTCAATTTGATCTCTGTTATTAAGCTTTCTTTGAACGTTTTTGTCAAAAATACGAAAAAACTTTTTATTGAAAATATTTATTAAAAAATTGTCTGAAAATTATAAATAATTAGAGTGACGATTTTATTTTTGGAATAAAGGAATAGTTCGAGAAGTTTCGGAAATATAAAATCGTAGTTTTTTATTTTTTTATTTTGTAAAAATCTGAGTTGAGTTTTCACTGAAATTCAATTTTAATTCTATTTTTCCATTCGTCACCAATTTGGGAATTACCGTAGTCGAGGAAAATAAAACTCTCTTTTTGCTTCATTTCTTAATGCATGTTAAGGAAGAGCCAAAAAGGCTTTCTGAAGAAAACAAGCCAAGAGTCTCTGCCTTGGCCTGAAATTATTGGTCAGAAAATTTGATTAGTAAATGAAACTAAAAAATATTTATTTTCTGTTTTTCCGCAAAAATTTTTCTGTTTCTGAAAAAATGCAAGAAATATTGAAAACAGTCTGGCAAGTAAGCAAACAATGTGAGTAAGTTTTATCACACTTTAAGTTTGAGTTATATTGTAGCTGACTGCATTTCTTCTGAAGGCAATTCATAGTATTAAAGTAAGTGATAATAAATATTTGCTGAATGCAATTCAAAATTAAATCTGTTATTGACGGTGTTAAAAAAGAAATCTCAATAGATCAGCAGTAATAAATAAGAAAATGTTAAAATTTTCGATTTCAATCCCTCATAAATCCTTTCACGTCCCATAAATCTATCATATTTGTAATTTAAAGTGAAAAAATAGAAATAATTCTTTAGTAAAATCACGTCTAAAGATGAGATCTAAAATAGTTTGCGACATAAGTATAATTAATTAAATATAATCGAGGAAATTTTAGTGCAGCCAGTGCGATTGCTATCTGGACGAGACATGTACTGTATACATTCGAGACAGTAAGCCGTACTGCAAAAAAGATTATACGAGGTGAGCTTAAAATCCATTTTCAGAATGTTGCAGATTGTGTTTGAAAAACAAATCTTAAAAAAAAGCAGGAAAGCAAACATATTTTCAATATCTTATTAATAATATTACCATTACTTGATGACTTTATAGAATAATTTTAATAATAATAGTAATATTTTCACTGTCATTAAAAATTAACTCTAAAGGTAAATTTAAAATTCAAATCCTATCACTTACATAATTTTCTTCTTTATTTGTTTCTTTTTGCGCCACTACTTGTGACATCTAACTGACAATTAAAAAGTGAAAATTAGTGTGATTTTGATGAGTACTAGTACAAAAATGACAGTGCTGGACTCGAGTACATTAGTATGCTTTAAGTATCACTTAATAAGTACTTCTTACTTCAAGTATAGTCCTATATTCATTTTCATTCTTTATATTTATTGTCACTCTGCCACATTTTTTATTTCTTCGTCTTATTTTCATTGTTCTCGTCATCAAAATTATTTTTCGTACTGCTATAACAAAGCAGACAGGGGTCACAAAGTTCATAACCTTAATTTTGCTTTACTTCTTTTCTGCAGTTAAAGTCTTACATGTGTCTAAAAGATAATCCATCTTTATCTGTTTACAAATCTTTTTTCTCCTTACCAATTCAGCCGTATTTACGAGCAATTTTTTGTGATGCCACATCAATAAGTCAACTTTTTGTTGGGAAAAAAATAATGGTGAATGCAAATTCAAAGGTTGAATATTGAAAATGTATTGAATGAAAATTGAAGAAATGAAGCAGCAATTTAGGAAAATTCGAGTGATTAGTATAAAATTTAAAGCAGAAAAAATCAATGTATCTTAAAGTTTAAATTGCTGACAATAGCAGTATTCATCTTTTTTGAAGAGATAAGTAATTACCTTAATGTATATATCCACATTTAGAGTGTACATCACACTTTATTGAGCGATTTAGTCATCTTCATTGTAATCACTTCTCCAATTTCACTTTCAGAAGCTTCTTGAGGGAAGTAATCGGTTTAATGGGTTCCTTCCTAGATTATCTTCAATCTTATCCTTATTTACAGCAGTCTTACTTCCTTTATGTAAATTCTCTAATTCATACGTTTGTGTTAACAAAAACAACGAGTGAAAACTTTTTTCAACTTATAATTTAGCCCTGTCAAAAAACAATCACAAATATTATGCGAAAATTTGAAAAAAGATTTCTACACGTAAAATGAATGTCATTCTGCTATAGCTGAAAAGATTTTCAAATTTTAAATCTGTTTTTTTCTATATGTTTAAGCTCATCACAGACAATACAGGAATTAAATAGAAACATAATTTTTCATGATAATCCTTAATCTGATTACTCGCTTTTAGAGAATTCAAATTACAGGAGAATCCAAATTGAAACTGCGTACGCTATGATTGCTTTCTACAGTTCAGTCGAGAGAAAATTTAATTAAAAATAGAAATAATATTAACAATAATTGAAGTGAAATTCGCCTTTTCAAATCTTTTTAATTTTTATGAGAATTTTTATGAATAAAATTCATGCTACTTAGTCAATTTTCAAGAATAAGCTAGAACTTATGTGTTGGCAATGATGCTTGGAGCTCGATAATCTCAGTAGCTTAATTAAATTATCGCAAAGTTTCAATCAAGTGATTTCACTAATAATTACTTCTGACAGAATTTCTTGAGGACTCGATTACGAATTAGTTTGACAGGAAGATGAAGCAGTGAAAAGCTGTCAGTTATCATCTATCTATTCAGCAAATGAAACCGCACATGACATGAAATAAACTGTAAAATATATTTTAAGCTAATTAAAAATTAGGCAGTAAATCTGCAAAAACAAAACTAAGGTTTAAATAGGATAAAAGATAATTCTTCAAAATAAATAAACTAATATTTATTTCTATTAAGGAGAATTCTTCGAACGCAAAATGTACAAAAATTGCGCAAATAAAAAATGAATAGTTTTTATGTCATCACTTGCAGGTGACTTACTTGTAAAACTTGCTGATTTAAAAAGTCTAATATCACTTTACTGTCAAATCAAAAATCTGTTACTTTCAAATTCAAATTGTTCAAGTTGGAAATACACTATTGTTTTTACACGGAGTACGTCAATCATTGGCAGTGCAAGCAAAGGACTGGAAAGGTGTTTGAGCATTCCCAATATAACATTATTTGTTTCTGATTCAGAAGACATGACACATTTAGACTAACCTTAACAATAGAAAGTAATCTATCCATCTATCTATCCTTTGAAAGAGAATATAGTTAGTTGTATGATGACTGTATAATTATTACCCATTATGTAAATATCAATGAGAGTAATGGCAGATAGCAAGCAATTACTCATTTCTTCTATTGCATTCCCATCACATCATTGCGAGTAGTACAATAATCGTTTTGTGCATTAAAAGAAAACAATTGACTGTCGGTTTCTTTCAGTATTTGTTTGCATATTTCTGTTCATCCGTTTTACTTTCCATCAGCCAAGCAACTATTAAATTCTTAATTACAAACCATCGTAATGACCACTACTATATGTTTCACTTGTCTGACTGCCAATCCAACAAAGTTATTTTGTGGTCATTCAAAAGAGCTATTACTATTACTGCTAAAAAGTTGCTTCATTATTTTCTACCATTGTTATTCACACTTATTATGCAATACTTAAAATGCGTCGATCATTTAAGAAAGCAGAAGCATTTGACACTGAGCTCATATTCTTATAACAAATACAATATATTGGAAATGAATTGTCACACCATTCATAACTACCGAAAAAAAGAATTAACCAAGCGAACTAATTTTTAAATTTTAGAAAATTTATAAATTTTTTTGGTCGGTTTTCATTAAATATGTAGTAAGGAGAAAAATTTTGATGCTATCTATCTAGCTATCAGTCTATCTATCTATCTATCTATCTATCTACCTATCTATTTAAAAGGGCATGACTATTTCCTTCCGTTAATTAAAATCCTTTTAACAATTACTTATGGCATACATTTGATATCTTTTTTTCGTTATGTATTTTAAGTACTAAATTGAATTTTTATTAATGCTTAAAATTACTCATAAAGTTATGAGGAAGAAAATTGGACAGATGTAAACAAGAAAAGAAGCATTAGAGTGGTGAGTCGATAAGAAAAAAACCTTAGCAACAGCTCTACCGATTGCGATCGAAGCTCACGTTCCGTCCGCATTG